CCGTTTGTCATGGGCCCCACCGGTACCATTTGGACTAAAAAGACTAATTCTTTTACTTGTGCACAATTTTATTTTATTCTATTTTTTTGCTACTTTGGGGGAAATGTTTATACTTGAAGTTCTGTTAAAACCTGTTGTAATACTGTGTTGTTTTAAAATTCTTTTAAAAGGCTTAGCATCACTAAAGTACTTTTAAGCCACATAACTGTGTTTTGTCTGGTTTCTCTGTCATTCATGTACCAGAACTCTAAGAGTCGTTCTTAATCTTCTGATACTAGCCCAAATTACTCATACCTTGGTAATTATCTATCTGTACTGTATATACCTCCACGTAAGTGCTACATTTTCACCTTTAATGTTAGCTCTGTCTGAAGTAGCTTTGCAAGCTGTGCTCCAGTGAGTGTTTGGTACACTCACTCAGACTGAGGTATGGCACCACAGTGTGTTGCAACCCCTACTTTTAAAATCCCCTCTGCAGACAAAAGGAAATGTCTCAAGTAGGCAAAAGGATGGTTCCTCAGTGTGTGACTTCACATTTGTTGGAAACAAGTGTCCAGTGCTGTGCTGGTCGGTGCCCCAACCCCATCTCTTTGTTCTAAGTCACATGGTTTTTGGGAAATCAGGAGGTGAAGCTCATGATTGTTCCTTTTATTCATTAAGAAGTCATGTTTATGCAGAAACCCCGAACTCCTTATACCTCTCATAACCAATTACCATTGGTTAAGAGCAGGTGGGAGGAGTTTGTGAGAGGCAAATGTAGCATCGCATGTTACTGATCTCACTGTATATAAAGAACAGGGTCTGGTAGGATTTGTAAGAAGGCAGCTGCATCTACAAAAGCAAGAGCTCAGAGGTGAGTTTATGCAAAAGAAAGAGAATAACTTGTAAAATCTGTGCATGTCAAAGTATGTAAAGATGCATGGGATGGGAGAAGGGTCAGTGTAAATCAGTGTAACGTTTTTCAGAATCAGGATCTTTCAGATGAAACACTTTAACCTGAAGAGGATGAAAATTATCTGAAGGTTTTTATGATCCTTATCTCTCAGCAAATTTTAACACCAGTGACAAGATGTGCAGTTATTTCTCTATCTTGTGCACAGAGAAATATAAACCTGTTTTATTTTTAATTTAATTAAATTTTCATCTTTGATTGACTGTATGATTCACAGATTTCCTGTAAAGATAAGAAGTTACTGAGATGGAAGTCCGTGATGAGACTGCAGTGGCAGGTGAGGAGAAGGAAAAGAGAATTTTCTGTTTGGGGCAGTGTTGCTGTTGTGGTAATGTACAGTTTTGTATCATTTTCTGTTCCCATTTTCTCTCTGCTGCAATGCACCACATTGGTGTTTTAAAGACAGCTGAAAACAGCTTGATTAGTTTTCATCTTTTCCGTATTTCCCTCTTTCAGTTTGTAAAGATTTAAGTGCATTAAATTAGGCGGGTGTCCCCTTAAATAGTTCCAAATTGTATGAGTAGCAGGTGCATTTCTGGAGGGGTGGGTTGTGTGTTTGCTGTTAGAATTAACATACTATTAATCTTATAATGCAGAGATGAAATTTGATTTAAAGCTTTAGATTTATATTATTTTGCAGATTAATTACGCTATTATAGGTAAGGCTACCCAGCAATTTAGGACTGCAATGATTCGTCCAGTAAATCAGATAAAAATCATTATAAAATATCCTAAATCTTTTGTTTAAATGATTTGTTTAAGGTATGATCGCTTAGTTGTCACTATGTAAATGTGAGCGTTTCACCGACATTTTCAGCTAAAAATAGACCTGCAATAAAAAAGTATTTAGGGTCACATTTGTGATGAAAAGTATGGCAACATTAAGCCCATGTGGCACCCAATTTTCCAACAAGACCGATCATAACAACAGCAGAAGTGATACAGATTTGTAGAAAATCACTGTGTTGCTGGTCAGTTGCCCAACCTCATCTCTTTCTTCTAAGTCACATTTCTGTTTCTGGTTTCTGGAAAAACCTGAGGTGTTGCTATTACTCCCCAATTGTTCTTTCTGATATCACCCATTAATAAGTCATCTTTATGCAGCTGTCATAGTTTAACATGAAGCTGTACTCTGTCTACACGCACCACAGTGAGCTCAGGAGGAGTGAAAGAAAACATTTTTGACATTGACATTACCAATAAGTTTGATGTGTCACATGGCCCTCTTCCTATTGAAAAAACAAAAGTTGTATCCAAGATGGCCGACTTCTAA